GCACCCACCGCTTGCGCGGCCGCGGCGCTTAAGTCCGGTCTCCTGGCTCAACAGGCGGGGCGGGGCGCACAGCAAACCGGATTCCCCGCGCTGCGCCCCAGCGCTCAATCAGCTCTGCCCGGGCTCTGCCTGTGCCTCCGGATCTCTCTCTCTGTCATGGCCCGGAGGATCCCTTGCAGCGCCTCTCCCTGATGCCTTCGACTTCTCCTCGGAACCCCTCCCTCCCCTGCAACAAAGACTGAAAAAGAAAGTAGCTGCTGAAGCGCACCGTGGGGAGGTCACTGGGGGCAGCTCGCAGCGCGCCCTCCCCAGCAGGTGTCGGTCTCCCGGGGCGGCTCCCCGCTTTCTGGCGCAAAGTGGAAACCTGCGCGTGGAAAAGCAGCTTGGCGCCGAGTCCCCGCCACGACGACCCGACCAGGGCAGGGTACCCAGTCCTCCAGCCGCCCGCCCGACCGCCGTGACTGTGTACAGTCAGACGGGAGACGGGGACAAAGGAAGAGAAAGCGGGAAAAAAAAAAAAAAAAGGGAGGGAACTCAACGAAAATTTGACCCACTTAAAAAAAAAAGTTTTCCAGTATACACTGGTCCGGAAAAGCTAGTTTTCCGTGGTTAAAAACGTCACCTGGGAGAAACGGGAAACTGATGTATGCATGGATGGTTTTCTTCTCCTGGTTTCCAATCTACTCCTTTGCAAATGCAGTTGTGTGGTTGCAGGGCAGTTACGTCTTCCCAGTAAGGTCCTGATTCTGTCACTTGGTTCAGTGCATTTAGCTCTGTGGTTGAGTGTGCGGGTGTGTGTGTGTGTGTGTGTGTGTGTGTGTGTGTAGAAACAGAGAAGTAAGTTCTGATATGTTTGGAAGCAAAAAAAAACACATGCGTTATTCTCTTTCATTGTGAATTCATAACTAATCATGAGTGTTACGTGCTCTCTCTTCAAGCCCAGGGACTTTTAGACAAAATGTTCATGGTTATCTCCAATTCTTGTATTTCTCCCCAAACCTTCCACATAATCCCATTCTATTTTAGAATCATCACATCTGCACATTTTTCTCCCAGCCTTGACAACTGTGCTCTGCACATGTCAGAAGAAGCAGAAAAAAAGACATTTAAATTAAAAAAAAAAAAGGTGTTTAACTAAGCATTGCCTTAGTATCAGGCAAAAGTGCAGAGCTACGAATTTGCATTTTTGGTTCTGCCCTCTCAGGAACCTTCTCTTTCTCTCCTCCCAGCACTTGATAATCTGTTAGATCAAAAGGTCGTTTGTCCTCAGAGTACTTAGAATTTAAGGCCTCAAAAAAAAAGAAAGAAAGAAAAGAAAAAGAAACTGCCAGTAATGCATAATTGGAAGAGAATCTTACACTATTAAAAAAATGTAGTGGTATGAAATTGCAGAGAAAGAAGAGGTATCTACTTCATGAGGGAACAGCATGAGAGTTAGGCCTTAAAAGGTAGTTCAGATTTTGGAAAAGATAAAATAAGGAAGTTTTTATCTTTTCTTTTGTGTTGTGCTTTTCAGGCAGAGGCAGACTTGTGAGCAAAGGCCTGGAGGTGGTGTCCTTTGCAAAGTGCACCAATAAAAGTCCAGGAAGCTGAGCTAGGAAGGTAATTTCAGTGGCCTCACTTGGCCTGTCCTCCAGCTGCCACACATCGTAGGTTTGTATCAAACCTGGTTTTTTGGCTTTGGCATTACTCTTGTCAATATCGCTCTTGGCTTCGATGGCGACCTGCTTAACCCGTTCATCTCTGCCTTAACCATCCTCAAATTCTGAGGCACGCCAAACTCCTCGATAATGACCACTTTTTTTTAATTGAAGTGTAGTCAGTTTACAAATGTGTCAATTTCTGGTGTACGGTACAAGGCTTCAGTCATACATGAACATACATATATTCATTTTCAAATTCAATAAGGACGGCTTTTAACCTCAGTAATTTCTACCAGGGCTTGCTCAGCTTTACCAAGGGTAAGCCCTCAGCTGCAGAGTCTCGTACAGGCATTCGTCAGAGATACTGCAGGTTCAGTTCCAGACCACCAAGATAAAGCAAGTATCACAATAAATCGAGTCACATGAATTTTTTGTTCCCAGCTCGTGTAAAACTTACTTTACACTATGCTGCAGTCTAAGTGTGCAGTAGCATTTGTCTTAAAAAAAAATGTATCTACTTTGGCTGAAAACTACATTGTTGCTAAAAAGTCCTAACCATCATGTGAGCCTTTGGCGAGTCTCAGTATTAACATCAAAGATCACTGATCCCAGATCACGATAACTAATTTAATAATAATGAAAAAGTTTGAAATATTTCACGAATTAGCAAAATCTGACACAGACATGAAGTGAGAAAATGACATTGGAAAAACGGTGCCGATAGACTTGTTCGACGCAGGGGTTGTCACAAACCTTCAATTTGTAAAAAATACAGTAAGAGGAAGTACAGTGAAAAGAGGTCTGCCTGTATGCTT